CTTTATATTAAAACTTTGACATTATTGTTTTATGCGTATTTTACAGAAACAAGTACTAAATTTTTATATTTTAAGGTCACCTCTGCTTTAAACCATGATCATAGTTCAGTTTCTTGTGTGCCAGTTTTTTTATTCAAATATTATCGAGTTCTCTGAGTTGGTAAGTTTGAAATTCGTGTCATAATATAAGTACAGTAATGTTTTATATATCGATTAACTTTTATATTATACAAAATTTCATTTTCCAACTTTAATATAATTTAGAAATATTGTACGTCATGCTAATGCACGTGTTATATCATCCATTAGTAAAATTGAAATTCAATTACTACAATTATTTGGCGATGCTCTCAACGTTCCTGAATGTCAAGATGTCTGTGTAACCACAATGCAGTAAGTTTTTAGTTATTATTCATATTTTTAATAATATATATGGATAGTAAAAATATATATTAATTTCATTTTGAATTTATTAAGAGCTTTAGGAAGAGTCGCAGAATTTATGGAGCCAAAGAGATTGTACCATCTCTTTGGCTGAAATCTTTCTTTTTCATCTGTAATTAGCAAATTTTTCGAGACTTAATTCCCTATGGCTAACATTCTTGTACAATGTTTAAATATAATGATAACGACTCTACAATTCAAGAATTTGAAACATTGCTTATGACGGTATATAAAGTTATAAAAATTTCATATTTGCTATCATTCATTGTTATTGATCATTTTAATTCATTTTATGTCACAGGATTCTCCTTTTTTGTCAAATTATTTACCACAACTTAATGAATTTGCCTTGACTGTGACAGGCAGTATTATAATTCGATGAACCTGTTCGCATTTCAATAAAAAAAGCTAAAATTCTAAGATCTAAGCTTATCAGTCCCATTATTCAAGAATTAATGCCAATTGGTACTGAAGATGACTCTGAAGACATAGACGAAGAGTCGCCGTCTTGAGTAATTGTCAATTTATTTTAAAAAGATACAATCATGTCATATACTTACCATTATATTTTAATTTTATAATTGAATTGAATAGATGTCTTTTAAGGTGATAAATTCTTTGGTGACGAAATTGCCACTCCAAGTTTTTCTTGTTACTATGGGTTATATTACCGCATACATTCAAAATTCTACCCAAAATTCAGGAAAGCTGAAATGATGACTTTCGCAGTATGCTGTTCCTATTTTAACTATGCTTACAATGGATCACATGACTCTAGAATTATCATTCGTAGAGAGCTTGCGATCTTGAACTTTTAAATAATGTAAATATAGAAGAACTAGATCAAGAAAGTGCTGCAACTCATGCAACTTTGCTACTATTGATCTTTGAACTTACGAATGACACAAGCACGGAGATTGCAAAACAAGCTTGTAATGCGCTTGATTTTATTTAGAAGGATTAAGTGATGAAATTCACCCGCAGCGATGGAGAGGCGTCTTATTTTAATGGATAATGGTGCAAATGAAATAAAGGACGCAACCATTGGAGGTGCTACACATGCAGCTGGCGAAGTAATTCTTTATTTGCTATTACTGATTATAAATGGTGATATGATAGGAATTTATGGTTTATTATATTTGAAATATTGAATTTGAATATACTGTAATATAGTATTTTTTTCACGATAATCACGGGATCACACCCAATGTTTAAAATTTGGTATTCTCAGTGTTCTCTAAGAACACTTAACAATTTTTATGAACATAAATTATTGGAAATGTTCAACATTTTTTAATATTTAAAAAATTTTAACTTCTGAGAATGTTAAAAAATTTTTGAGAACATTTAAGAATTCAGAAAATGCGAATTTTAACATTATGATCTGCAAAGATCACACCTCTTTTGCAAACCGCAATACTGATTGAATAAATTACCATTGACAATGCTGATACATGGCATATAGTAAACTATGATCCTACGTACTACGTATTCACTGTTCTACTGTTTCACTATATACGTACATATTATTATTACCAATATTCATTAAAAGCTTTGTCGGAACATTAACGTTAACATTAACGTTACCAACGTTAATAATAATCATAACACCATTCCAAGCCAAAATGGCCAACATTATACACGTGATTAACTTGATAAGATTATTATATATATCCATTTTGGATTTATCGTTAACTTTGTTGATATGATTTATTGTGAAGCTAATTTGATTGTAAAGAAGGCGTAAGATGGCAATTTAAAAAAAATAGTATTAACGTGGGATTTTCTTTATATTTTTTAAATTTTAGATATTTTAAACTCGCTTTCAGGCCCTTGCTTTTATTGTTTTTGGGTTCAATCAACAACCACCAATTTGGATTTACCAATTTGGATTTACCAATTTGGATTTTCGTAATACCTATACTGCAAATCAATCCAAATTCGGCGTTACTGACTAACTTTTACGGATTTGTTCAAGATATATCTACATTATTATCAAAATAACTTTGCCTTATAATTTTTCATGATAGTAACTTGCTCACAAAATTTCAAAAAAAAAAAGTTATTTTATCTTAGTTATCTTATTTTAAACGCCAAAAACTTAATATAAGGACTTCATATTAAGCATAACTATGGTCCAAGTTGTCTCTAATTAAAGTTGGTGGAAACATTCGATCTCATTCGATCTCCAACGCTTATATAAAAAATACGTTTCCAAATTATAATCTTGCAAAATTTCAGATGCTATTTACAGATCCATTTTATAAAAAATTCGTGTAACATTGTTTTTAAAAATCTTATTTTTTTTTTTAATCAAAAATAATTTTCTAAAGATTCTTTAAAACGAATAATGTCTTCTATATGAAGCTTGCTAAGAATAAAATCTTTAGACTTTATAAACTTTTAAATACAAATTAGTACAGTGCTCTCGTTTGTGCTATTAGCCTCGATTCAAATATATTTCACTAGAATATGTATTGTAGATTTGGCAATGAAAAGGCAGCGAAAAATTTAGCATAATTATATAAAGAGGAAAAGCTAAACGTAAAGTAAAGTGACTCAGAAATTAAAAATCAGTATAAGTAAAATTGACCTCCTGGCATTTTATTAGCATTAGCGTTGGCATTAGAGGTTAAAATCAGAATAACCGTTCTTGTATTTTTTATTTTCTTGCCTTTATGAAATTTACAAATTTAACTAATCAATTAATATTAATATAGAATTCTCTCATTTTGCAAATAACAAATAAATCCACTTGATAATAACATTATTATCGTTATCATTATTATTAAACTGTATCGGTATTCTATCGCTATTTACCAGGTTATTGAATATCCTTTCGAATATTATCATTACCATTACAATATATTGCAGTAATAGATTCTTTAGTCCTAAGTACATATTGTAAAGCATCTTTATTATTATTAACCTAATATTTAAAAAAAAATTGAAAAAAATTGTTGCTTGTAAGAATCCTTTTATCGCTGTTTTCGAAATTGTTGAAAATGGCAAATAATTTTTTTTTAGCGTACACTCGTATACTCGTATACTCTAAGGTAATCGAGTGTACGAGTGTACGCTAAAAATCCATTTTCAATCATTTCGAAAACGATTAAATAAAAAGAGATTCAGGCAACTCGTGTAACTATATAACCTAAAATACAATAATTCGAAAACAGACGATTAAATAAAAAGAGACTCAGGCAACTCGTGTAACTATATAACAATAATTCTGCACGCGACTAGAAGCGCAGCAAATCCCTTCTTTAAACTTTTTTCTTTTTCTTTGGAATGGAAACCAGGCAGCCAATTGCATTGCTTCACAATAATGAGTTCTTATTTGTTGAAGAAAATACCAACTGTTTAGAAGAAAACTCGATAAACTTTTCTTCTTTCCAGGTTTTTAATTTGAAGGTTTGTGCATTTTTAAAAAGTTACCGCGTAGAATTTGTTTTGTTTGAAAGTGTGCTCTAATTTTTTTTTTTTTTGCAATGATTCCCTTGATATTTTTACAGGAACCTGTCGACAATATTATCTTGTCAACGTTAATTGTTCCACAAGCGATTAAGCAATATTACTCATTTGAAGTCTCGGAATATAATGGTTCCTCAGTTAAAGTATGTTATTATTAATTAATTATTCTTTTCTCAAGTCATTAACTAACATAGTATTTATTTTTTAAAATATAGGTGAAAATTCACTTTTCAAACAAAACACATTCAGATGTGATCAACTTGTTGCGCGAGGCCACTACAAATTTGTATTATATATCGGAAAATGGTCTTATGGACTGGGTGCCAACTGATTCGATTACGTTCAATATTATTTATCCAAACGCTTATTCCACACCGAATCAGAGCGAAGATGATGATATATCGACGGTAGAAGATACGGGTATACTAGATCTCGGTGATGTTGAATGGCTTACTCGGAAATTACATGAAATGGCATTACTATTTCAATCAAAAAATGATATACGTACGTTATTTAATATATCAATGCTATTTATTTGTACTGTATTAGTTTTTTCTAACATTTTTTTTTTTTTTTAACAAAGCTTCTGATGTATTGGAAGGTCTTTTTCATTCTATCTTTCCAAGACGCGTTACATCATTAAATGTTATTGAAGGAGTTGGTATTTTGATATCTGCCATGGACCAAAGACTCAGACATAATATCATAAGAACTGTTTTTCGAAAACTAGCCGAATTAATTAAAAATAACAATTTAAGGAGTGTGATACTGGAAAGCCAATTTGTAAGTCAGGCTGTATTTTTCTCTGAGACCTACAGTAGGTTACATTAATTAACCTTAAATCGCATAACATAGTCTCCTGATTTAGGTTTACATTTGATTCTCAATTTGTGGACTCTAATAGAAGGTTTTAGGGATATTTGGAAATCATTTAATATTCTAAAGAATTCAGATGAACAATTTAGAAAAATAATTTCGGCAGAGAAATCTTATTTTATAACTTACGTTGATCACATTTGTTTAATTATTGAAAACATATTGACCATTCTCACCAGGGAACAGTACGATCTAATATCTAGTGGGTATATTTTTATATAAACATATCATAAATTCGTTATTTATTTATTTGTCTAATACTTGTAATATATACAGCTCGCCTAGATATTCTCGTAAAAGCAGTTGAAGACCTGATGAAGCTAACAGAAATAATATCGGTCAAATGTAATGAATATCTTAAGGAAATTGAAACCGAAGAAAGAGGAGCAAAGGTTAGGGCATTGGTACATTTAGGGTAAGCTACTATATATACAATCATTTATTCATTTATTAAATGTTGGGGGTGATGCTGAAATTGAGTGATGCAGAAAGTATGACCTATTTCATTTAAAATTTCTTGAGGCGTATTTTTTTTCTATTTCTTTTTTTTTTTTAGGGTCGGATTAGGATTTGGGCTAGGGTTGTTAATAAATAGTATAGGTGGATTTTGGAAGGCTATTTTTAAAATAAGACCTCATAATCCCGGCGTCATCCCCAGTATTAAATATCGAATTTCTTGAGATAGCAATAAAAAAGTTTAAATCAGGTGATATTCATGATTAAAATATGTCTAAACATCACACACAAATAATTAGACCACCTGATTTAAATCAATAAAATCTTTTGTTTGCTATCCCTACGTGTTCTAAAAGCCTGTTCCCGAAAGGATAATATTGACAAAGTTGGCTCTAATGCTGGTCGATTTAGTCGATATTATGTTATTTAGGAAGATGGCTCTCGGAATACCGTATTATAATTGTTATTTTATTTTGAATCATTATTCTAATTGATATTAACACTTTTGTTATTAAGGGTTGCTGCTTTTGAGGTTTATTACGGTATCTCAAAGTATAAATCTCATAGTACGGTACAGGTATGTGTTAACAACTTATTTAGTGTTATAAATAATTTTCTAAAAGTTCTAAAAGTGCAATCTACACTACAGAGGGTTTGCGAAGCAGCTTTGTTCGTTACGAATGGGTTTGCTTTCGGGTTTGCGCTGGCCGCTAAACAAGAATTAAGCAAAGCTATAGAACAACAGAATAATACTCTTAGAAGGTTACACGAATTTCATTTAACGCTTACCAAAATGACCCAGAAAGGAAGAATTGTTCTAGATCTAGGTGGAAATGAAATGTTAGATCAACGAAATACAATTATTGAAGAATTTACCGAATTTCAGATTCAATGCAAAAGTTTCAAGGATGTGTTGGATGATCTTGAAGAATGAATTGAGCTACATGTTTTGGGCATTAAGTTAATTCGTCGCATATATTCACATACATACCTTCTCAAAAGACGAAATTATGACTTGCATCACCTGCATTTTTTTTTTTTTTTTAAATAATGATAATATTGTTATTATAATATGTGACTGAGTAACAAATAAAAAGAACACAATAATGATTCCTCAGTATAATTTATTTCTTTCAAATTAAAATTTCAGAAGTCTAACATGTAAAAAAAAGTTGACATCATCATCGGAATTAAAGTTCTTTAAAACGAGACCTATACGTACATGAATTAGAGAGAATCTTGTATCCAGTTTTTAAGATCATTCAATATGGGCATCAGTTGAATATCCGATAACGTTAATGTTGAAAGTGATTGAGATACTGAGGTAAGATCGTATTTTGTGCCTAATGTTGAGTATATTAAGAAATGAAGAAATAGATACGTGTAAATTATCATATGGGTGACGCCAAGTGAAAACCAGGAATTCTAAAAATAGCTGTCTTTAGACAACGGACTTTAAATGATACTAATATGTGATCAAAAAAATATTAAAAGCCCGCATTCCATTGTCTAAAGAAATCTATTTTTAGAATTCCTGGTTTTCACTTGGCGGCACCCATTTACTAATTATGACTGGGGCTATAGTAAAAAATTAATAGTAGAATTTATGCACAAGTCGTTTTACTATATAGTGAATATAGTGAATATCAGTGTTTAAAAAATCGATTCACCTCACGTACTGATAATTTTCTTCTAGTAATTTTTGCGGCAAAAAAAGTTATAGTTTTAATTAAAGATTTTTTATAAATTAGCTTATGTAAATGAAAATATAAAACCGTAATTTCTTTTTACAACATAATCATTGCCGCAAAACTGCTGAAAAAAAATTATTAGCATGCAAGATGAACCAATTTTTTAAACACTAACATTTTACCAGTAAAATATTTTTGTTGATCTACACAAAATCTGTACTATTAATTTTTACAATAGCCCCTGACATAGATTTGTATATACAGAATCCAGTGTAAAGTGAAAATTGTCTTAATTACCTTCTAACGAATCTTCCAAAGTACTAATCAAGTTTTCATATTTTATTGTTGATGGAGATAAAGTTATTGCATATATGAAACCATTTTTAGATTTTATGAAAGCTTTCTTTTTTGATGAAACACAAAATCATTAGTAGTAAAAAAAGTGTGTAATCATAATGAATAACAGAATAACAGATAATGTATTTACCACATGACCCCAAGGAAAAGTTTTTTCAAATTCGAGAGAAAATTCAGGAGTTTGACCGAATGTCCAATCCCAAGACTAATATGTAAATTGGGGTTCACGAAATATTTTTGATATTCATAAAATTTGTATTACTAGAATTAAATTACCTTTAATTCATCACGATAATCTATAATCTTGGGAATGTTTGATAATAATTCTTCTTCAACGATTATTGGCTTATTTTAAAAAACATCCAAAAGCGTAAATAAATAATAAATAAGTTAATAAATAAATAAATAAATAAAAAGAGTAACTAAAACAAATTAAGAAGTGTGCAGAATGTTACCTGCATATGACTATTAATTACATTATTAATGTCACCACGATAGTGAGCAAAAAATTCTTGTAATACCACATCACAAAATGATTTGTGATTCACGGTTAAAGAATAATTTCGAAGTTTTGTTACAGGTGATAAAACTGATTCAACACCTTTTGAAACAATATTCTATAATAATCAATATATTTGATCGGCGACAGAAATAAAATAAATGAAAGTGTTTGAAAAGTAATTAACGAAACAAAAAGTTGACAGATAGATAAATACTTTTTTTATTTTAAGATAATGACCAATTTGACTTAAATCAGTGTCAATTAACATGGTACCATGATGATATGCTCGAGTAGATATTATTTTAAACGCAGACCCCGAGACGTATTGAACAAAAAGATTAATATTGAAAATAAGATTAACATAAGATTAATATTAAGGAATAACTATATAATATAAATATACACATAATATTTTATTAAGAAACGGATATTTTAAGGCCTTCAATTTCAATATCATGTCTTTCGTTAACATGTGCAGGTATATCAAGTCTTTTTCTGAGGGCACGTGCTACCAATTCAGCCGAATGTTTACGAGTAAAATTTTGACGAGGAGTTATCACGGTATAGTTAGTATTTCCAAGATCCTTTTTTTGTTAATAATAGCATTTTTAATAAGGTTGAACTTTACGGGGAATGATCAAAAGAATAAGTGTTATGGCTTACATGAAAGACAGTACCACCACCGCTTTTTCTTCTTATAATAGGAATGCCGTCATTTCGTAAAAGGCGTACATTACATTCTTTCCATGGATTCTGCAACAATTAAATCATCGATATCACAATTATTGTAGCAGATATTCTTTGTATGATTTCAAATTACCTGATTTCTTCCAATTACCACACAGCCAATGTTTCTCCATAAATAGAGTAAGACAGTCGAGGGATCAGTATGCCTAAATAACCTTTACTTATATGTCAGCAATCATGTGACTATGTTTGTCATATCAATGATCGAGAAAGAAGTACCATTCTTCAACAGCAAGATTCGTCCACGGATCCGTCAAATTTGATATATAGCATTGAAAATTCTTTTTATATAAAAGAATTTTTGTATTAAGGAAACTATAGTTACTAGATGAAACTATTTTTATAAGATGAAAGACGAATTTAACCTCTCGAGGGACGAAACTGGAGAAACTTCTACGAAAGACGAAATTCCTGATGAAACCTCGGTGAAATATGAATTCCATGATGAAAAGATGAACATCAATAAACGGCTAGTAGGCGAAACCAATAAACCAATTTGAAATAATCTTAAATTTCATAACGTGCACATTGGGCTGTTAGATACTAATAAATACTGATAGATACTAATAGATACTAATAGATACTAATAGATACTGATAGACACTGAAATGTGGTTTAATAAAGAAAAAAACGAATTGTTTTTTTTTTTATTTATACTAGTAAACTATATAGTATATATATAGTATATAATCTGTTTGCTTTCACTAGCTGATTTTTTTTAACAGTCCAGTCTAGAGTCATTCGACTCGAGCGAACACTATGAACAATGGCGAATCGCAGAAGGTACTACATTATAAGGTATGATTAGCATAAAAAGAATAAAAACCTTGCACTTAAAGAGGAATTGCATTTAAAGAAAGTAAACTTCATATTACTTTATGTATTTGATATAGCGATATCGATATAGTTAACTAATCGATTGGAAAACTTTTACGATAATGTTAGTCTAATCGTTGATTATCTACATGGTGGGAGATTGAATTATTTAACCAATAAAATTAGGTAAAAGTAGTACAATAAACATGTGATAATCGTCAACTAAGTTGAATTCTTGTGAAATTTGAGAAGTATCCAACAAATATGATAATATTCAACTAATATGGTTTATGATAAATCGCCGATAACCCTATTTTCATTGGACGTAGCCTATAAGTAATAAGATTTCATGAATCCATAACCAATCTTTGCTATTTGAGATAAATAATAATGTTCCCATCATCGCCAATTTTTTTTGCAACTATATTTATTGGCATTGCGGTACTTTTTACATCATTCCCATAATTATATTAGTATTCTTCTTTAACAGAGTTGATTGTAAGAACATGTAGTATTCATGAGATAAAATGAGCTTAATTTTATTATCAATTAGCGATTTCTTATTTAATGACAGATGAATAATTACTATTATTTACTGTAATTCGGTGTAAAATCATTTTATTATATATTTTTATTACAAATTTTAACAGAGAATAAAATAAAAAACTAGGTTAACGCATCTCAGAATTGAATCTCGATATAATACCTCAATTTTAAATATACACATCTTCAAATTTTGGAGCAGACATATACCTTCTATCAGTTAAATCAGGTTCATCATTTAAGGTTTGATTGACAAAAGACGAAACTAGGTTTTGCACTTCATCAGCGAGAAATCTCCAGGTTTCATCTAACAACTATACCGAAAATCAGGAACATGAGGATCTGGTGATTTACTGCTATTTTAAGGAATATATATTTGTTATGTACATTTCTTAGAAACACCATAAATCGCAAGATCCCCATGTTCCTGGCGGAAAAAAAATCCAAGTTTCTGGAAAATCTTTCGTGGTAACATTTGAAGGACAAATGGCTTTGAATTTCCAAAATTACCTAATTTTAATCATAAAAGAGTTAAATAAGTAAAATAAGATATAGAACGATCAATAGTTTTACAGCAACAATATTCTTTGTTTTTTCGCGGTAATGAGATATGTAACTCTTCTGGGTAATGTTGCACAAATAACCGCCTTTTCAGACGTTTATATCATATTTGACAACGACCAAAGAAGAGATCCTTTTTTCAGAGTCAGTTTTGGCCACATTTTGACTCTTAGAATGTAGATTTTATAAAAATTCTTTAGAGCTTCGATAGGGCCGTTCACACTCTCCAATAACTGATAAAAAAAATATATTAAAAAAGTACTTACGTGAAGGTATTGCAATGGATGGATGTTGATTGAACATGCATTTCTCAGTACGTATAACCTAAAAGACCCAATACTATAATAGTATGATAAGTCATATTAATATATATATATATATATATATATATATGAATGGTGGTAACATTCTGATTATTTCTGATTATTTCTGATTATGATTGACGATAACCCAAAAATCCAAAAAAATTCAATCACGTGACAAAGAAAAAAATCTTAAAAGTTACAAAGTTACCGTTACAATGGGAATAAAGTCTTTTGTTTGTAGCTATATCTGAAAAATCTTTTTTTCCAAGTACGTACGTACTGTACGCAACCATTTAAAAAAAAAAGGGAGAACTTTCAATATAGGAATAAAACAGGAGAAAACCAAATAGGAAATAAATAAGAAATATATAAGAATAAATAAGAAATAAACACAAAAGATGTACCATGAGATTATCCGAGACAACATAGGCTGAGATCTTCAATGGAGTACAGATATTACGCCCAATCCATCTGACATAATTCATGCAACTAACCCCAAATCAATTAAAATCTGTTTCACGACATCTTCTCATCAGATGCCAACATTAGGACGCCAAAAGCATTCACATATGATAAAGTGATTTAATATTTTTTTTAAAAATTGATATTCTGTGTGAATTTTCCTTTGTTCTCTTTTTTAATCAAGCTTGTACTCTAGAGACTTCCAAATACATATAAATTGATTCTTGAAACGAAATGTTGAGCTAGTTTTTGATTGAGTTTCACATATACGCTTTTGTTTGTCGTTCAAATTCTAAATTAGTGAATTAAATGACTGAAAAGAGACGGAGCAGTTACACCGGAGTTAAGGAATGAAAAGTAGAAAAAGGTATTACTCTAACACAGAACTAACACATAACACGAGTTTTCTATGATTAAATTCTTCGTTCCTAGAATGCCAAAGACGCGTGAAAAATAAATAAGGCGATTATCGTAATCACATCTTCTAAATTTATGAAAGGAGTTAGGAATAATTAATAAATAGTTTACAGATAGTTTACAGATAGTTTACAGATAATGGATAGTAAAATAATGAATAATTAGTTCATGAATTTATAAATAGTTTATAAATATAAATATAATTATAAATTATCGTTATATAATAATTATATACAGTACAGCGTCAGTATCGGTATAGCAGAATAGGTTTATAATATCAATGCAGTGTAAAGTTATTTGAATTTATAATGAGTAGTTTATGAATAGTTTATAATGCAGTAATGAACAGTAATGAATAATTAATATATTATTATAAATATAACAGTTTGAGAATTAAGAATGAAAATACTACGAGAATGTTAGAGAATGTTAGAACATTAAATGTCAAAATTATTAAAACCTCGGTTTCAAAGTGAAGTACCTCCGGGGATGAGGGAAAAAAAAACATTTTGTGTTTCGTTGCTTATCAAGTTGAGGTGGATGAGTCATGATAATTTGTACTACGTTTTACCGATGATACACAAAGATAACGCAACTTCAATGAGAAAAGTCAATGACATATATAGAGTAACATATAGAAGGACGGTGGCGGAGTGTTAAAAATTTCCCAAAGAAGTTTTGACTGTTCTAAAAACGGTTGTTTGTTTCTATTCAGGAAAATTACTGGAAATTTTCTCTTAGAGAGTATGAAATTCCATCGTATACCTACAAACAGGTTTATGTATACCGATTAAACAAGCCTTTTTACTTTTTCTGTATTGTGTAATATCAATGAGGTCGATTGTATTGTTTTGTACGGTTCCCGACTTTTCCGGTTTAACATTATGTGAAATTAGTCTAATATAAAATATGTTTAAATATAATATGAATAATGTGAATTACTTTTGACAGACCCTTTTGACTAGAATTGGGATGTTATAAAAAAACCCAGAATCCATTTACGTCCAAATTGTTGTCTTCCTGCCCCTTTTTGTTCAAGCCAACTGTTTGGCACTTTATCAAAAACAAAAATAAAATATTTCATCCCTTTCTTCAGCTAAAATTCCTTCGCTTTTTCCCTAAAGCTTGTGACTCAGGAAAATCTCTATTTTCTTCTAAAAAAAGTTATTCAAGAACGTGAGTTCATCCTAAATGGTTTTTTTCAAATGCTAATTTTTTTTTTTTCTTTTATTTTCGTTTTTTTTTTCGTTTATTATTATTATATTATTATTTTTTTTTTTTTTCTTTTTCTTTTTTTTTTTTTTTTGCTTAATTTTGTTATTTTAGCATCATATTTCGTGTATCATCTTTCTTACTTCAAGATTAGCAAAGATTCTCTTATTTAAGATACTTTGTGATGTCCTAGAAAACCTTTCTAACGCATCGACGCGCCCTTCCATCCAATCGCTCGATGAATTTCCTTTTTCATCTAACAATTTATCATCTACTTATTTCTCTTTTCGCGAATTTTTTTTTCTTGAATTTCCATTTGTCTCATATTCGGCGTGTCAAGTTTCCGTAATCATCCATTCGTCTTACACTCATCTTGTTCATCATCTCGTTTCTTGTCGAACCAATCCCCCGCGCATACATTCATTTTTTCATTTTCTTTATTATTTTTGCTTTAAATTCTTATAATTTCTTTTCCTCCTATCTAGTCTTTTGATTTGATTTCTGTCCTCCCTGATTTTATTTTCGGTGGCGCAGTTTGTCGCATTTTTGCTCGTTCATCTATTGGTTCTTTTTCTTCCCCCATTTTTGTGCATTTTTGTGTGTTACATTCTCCGTGTCACCTACATCTTATTATTCACATGTACACGTGATATGATGCAATAATATTTTCAAAACATTTACAAGGGGGCGAATCTTTTCGGTCAGCTAATTTTCTTTTTTTTCATCCTCACTTCCTTTTACGCATACAGACTACGCAAAAAGGTTACTCACTACCCGGTTAGCTACCTGTCAAAATTTCTGCAACCTCCAAAAAAAGTCCTTTCCACTTACCACTTTTGAATGCACGCCACAGACATGAGCGGCCTTGCAAGTCCAAATAACCAGAGAAAACAAAGTAACGCTTCAGGTCACAGCGTTGACTTGGCTGAACCATCAACTTTAAAGAGTTCTAGTAAACGTGAATTTGAAGACGAAGATGATATCGAATCTAACGAAGAAGAAGCTGGTCCTAAAAGTGAAAAACGTGCTGGTCGTCGTAAGATAAAAATTGAATATATCGATGATAAAAGTAGACGTCACATTACTTTCAGTAAACGAAAGGCCGGAATAATGAAAAAGGTGATTCTTGATTTTTTTTTTTTTTCTCTCGGTCTTATATATATTTATATATATATGTATATATATCTATCTTTTTTCATTTGTAAATTAAATCTGTATAAAATGCATAATGTCATCCTTGCCATTTTTGTCGTCGTGTTTAAATTAAAATTTCCTCTTTTGATTAAAGAACTAAAAGTGGTGTACAAACAAAGACAATCAATCAACGTTATTTCTTCAAAGTTCTACTTCTACTATATCCCTTTATTACTTACTCTTACATTAATATTTCTTGTTTTATATCTTAGGCATATGAATTAAGTACCCTTACTGGTACTCAAGTTCTACTTTTAGTCGTATCAGAAACTGGTCTGGTTTATACTTTTACCACTCCAAAACTTCAACCCCTCGTCACCAAGCCTGAAGGAAAAAATTTGATCCAGGCTTGTTTGAACGCTCCCGATGCTCCATCCGGCCAAGATCCTCCTAACACGGTATATATTAAACATAATTTTTCTCCTGATCATATTCGTGCAATGCAGCCTTAATCTTAAGTCTGGCTTAGTCATTCATGTATCATATTTTGTTAAATAAAGTCTTTTCGCTTATAAATATTTTTTATCTTGTTCTATTTTTTATGTTATACTTGGATATTACTCCTTACTCCTCCTCCTCCTCCTCCTCCTTCTCTTCCTCCTTTTCCTTATCATCATTTTTTAAACCTGTTAGACTCGTTCAACACAAAACGCTCCTGTCTATGGAAATGATGGCTCTGCTTCTGTAGACGCAAACGGTGATGTCTATAATGATGACAGAAAGGTATCATATATTACATCATGATTACTAATCATAATGATCATAAAAATAATAATAATAGCAATCAATAATAGTATTATTTTATTATTATTATTATTATTGTTATTATTATTATTATGAATTATTGTTAATTAATTGTTATTAATATTTATTATTCTTGCTAATTCCTTTCTAATGTTAGCCACAAACTTCGGGTGGTCAGTTGTCGCAAACTCAGCCGTCGTATGCTCTTGGTTTAAGTCCCTACAATCAATATAGTGGAATTCCCAATATGACTTTAGGAACAAGTGGTATTGCTTCACAATATATGCCATCCGCTGGATATCCACAATATGGTCAGCAACACTTAAATCAATATGCACCGAATAATCCTTACATGCAACAATATTGGGGTCCTGGAGGAAATAAAGTCCCTCAATATTCGAACCAATCACCTGAAAAGAAGTAAAAAGTAATTATTTGATATTTTAACGATTTCTTTGTTTGGCCTATTATTCTTATTGTACAGATTTCAATTGGCTGAACTTTCATTTATATTCTTCCCTTCTCCTTAAAAAAAAAAAAAAGCATTGGTCGATTCATCTCGTTTGATATGGGAATGAATAATTGTTTATATTTTAAAAAAAAAGAATTTTTACAACTTATGAAATATATAGTTTTGATTTATGTTCTTTATTAAAAAAAAAAAAAAAAAGAAAAAAAAAACTTCGTTCATGTATCATTTTTTTTTCATTTTCCATTCGATTGATTGTTCTCATATACAATTATAAAAAAAAAAAAAAGGAGGCATTCTTCGATTGGTTGTTAATATATATATATTTTTTATTCACCACATACAACAAACACCTTTGCAATATACATAGTACCTTCGCTTTCCCTTTTCTTGTAACCAATTTTTTCTTTCTTTAAAAAAAAAAATTTTCAATAGTAGTAGCAGCAACTTTATATTTCTTAAAAAAGGTTCTTGTTGACTCAAGAACAAAGGATTGTTTTCACTTTTCAGGTATTGATTTATATAGGTATTAAGTAGTTGTTAACTTTTTTGATTTTGAAAAAAAATGGCTGATGTAAATCGATAAATATATATATTTTTTTATAAATAAAAAACATACAAATTCACTTAAAGTATTCACGAGCTTAATATGCCACGAACAAGTTTATTAAAATGTTTAGTATGTTTAGTACGTATATTAACAATGATTATAAATCACTGAAAATGGTTGTAAAAAATAAATATACATTATCATACGTATTGTAATCATTTGCTATTCAGGCATGGTAGGATGTACCTTTGCATACATAAATCACTTTGTTATTAACGATTTGTAGCCAATATATTACAACATCATGCTGCATCCTTTTTTTTATAAAAATAACTTGTTCTTATCATCATGTAACATTAATTAAAATTTTTCATTTATCATTACTCGTTTATTCATTTTTAAAGGCTGAACACAAAAAAAAAAATCTTTTTTTTTTTTAAACTAAATTTAGATTTTTCTCTTTTTTAAAAAAAAATACATAAAGAACATAAACTTCTTATAACCTATATATAATCGATTCTAAATTGTATTTTATATATATAAATATATATATATTATATACGCGCCTATAGAAGGTAGTCGATCAGCAATTTGATACATAAAAGAACCTGCTTCTAATATATATATGTAACCCTGTTCATCACGAAGTTTTGTTTTTAGTTTTGCTAAAAATTTTTAAATATATATATATATAATAAATATTATTACATGTACATAACAGTTTTCAATGTTTTCGTTTCGATCCTCTACGCAAAAAAAAAAAAATCCTTTTCCATTAAATAAGGATCCAAGTTTTCAAATAATAAAAATGACAGAGATATATATAAATATATAAATAGTTATAATAATAATAATAATAATAATAATAATAAATTTATTTTTTTCCCTGTCGTCTATTGTCCAAAATATTCCGCTGGAATTTTTTTTCTTAATTCACAAGTACGACCATTCCTTCCATTTCAGAATTGTTTAAACATTCATTAATAATAGCATCCTCCTCTTCAAACATACTCACACTACCAACGCGTGCCATGCTCATTCTTCTGCGATATTTGAGACATTGCTTATACATTCCCCATACTGGTGAATTGACAAGTAATCCTTTACGTAAATGTGAAATATAGGTATAGAAATCACACACCGCAACAATACGATCCCGACAGAATCTATCAAGTGGAATCCATACTGCACTTCCTATGCTCGAAAAACGTGATGATGAAGTTGTGGTTGTCGATGGTGGTACTGCAACATCCGTTCCAAAAATTCGCATGCGGAAATCACAACTTCTAAGATGACCACAGAGACCACATTTTTGTTTTGGTGCTTGTGGTGGTTCATTATAATTGCTCTGTCGGGTATTCGATGTTGAACTGCTAATTTGGCTGGTGTTAGGTGTACTTCGAACGGAGCTTGAATAATTATAATGTGTTTTTTGAATTTCGCATTGATTTTTCATAATAGCATCTAACAAACGTCTTTTATAAAATGGTGATTTCCACCCTGTATGTCCTTCAAATAAGCACGGTTGGATATCTTCATTCATGCAACGTTTCATGAATGGATGTGTAGGAGTAGAACTTGTGGGCGTAGTAGAATTTGTAAGTGATTTTACATATTCTTGGAATTCTTCATAAACTATGCTGTCAATATAAATACGTCTGCCTCGAGAAAATGATATCTCACCCGAAAATTGACTTGAAAATATATTAGGTGACATACAACCGAATACCCTGCTTCCTCTTGGACTATTTGTAGAAGAATTGGACAGTAAACTTCGACGAACAATAGAATTTCTGTTTAATGGCACTCCATTTTGCGTTGGTGCCGTTTGTCTCTGTTTTGTAGAATCTAAATGGACTAACAATAATTTCATTTCTCTTAATCGATCTTGCCTACTTTCAGATGATTTCAATGAATTATCCATTTTTCCTTTAGTCTCTCTGTTTAGGCATTCCAATTCTTCACGTGTATTGGCTTCATCAAACACCATTTGATTAACTTTCTCAAACATAGCATTTATCCAGTCATCTATTTCTTGTTCTAAGCTTTCTTTACTGGTTTGAATTTGAGATCGAAGAGTTTGTTCTTCCGCAAGAGATAATGCTAACGCAGAAAGATCACGTTTAAGATATGCACGTTCTTCAACATGTTGATCAACTTGAGCGAGCAACATATTACAATTGGGACAAGCGTTTGTATTTTGAAGAACGTCAGGGATAGGGCCGGGAGATGGTAAACTGTCATGGACAAGATGATGTTCATCATCATCATCATCATCATCATCATCAGAATAATCACCATCTGTACTTTCATCTTCGATTTCTTCAAATTTGTTATGAAAAGTATTTGTTTCATGATTATTAAATTTGATTAAATATTGTTCGCGTCGTTCTAGCACCCCTTCTTCTAGATCACTGTCAATAGTATTTGTTTCATGATTATTAAATTTGATTAAATATTGTTCGCGTCGTTCTAGCTCCCCTTCTTCTAGATCACTGTCAATTGACCTTCTTCTTGGAATGGGTCGATATGGTGTTGTTAAATTATTATCATTATCGTCATTATCGTTATCATTATCGTTATCATTATCGTTATCATCATTTTCGTTGTCATCATCCGACATGGGAATATCATAGTCTGCAATGTCTTCTGAACCATCTAAATCATATTCGGAAAGATCGGACACATCATCCAGTGAAATTTGGCTGCCACTAAAAGATTCTCTCCTTGAACTATTATGATGAACCGTAAGCCTATTATTTATATCATTTTCTATGGAATCGTCGTTTACTTCCTCCTTTTGCACATCGTGATTAGGTACAATGTTATTAGGTAGAGGATCATGTTCAACCCTGTGATCAGATTCATAGTCATCATCATTAGATGGTTGAAGTTTTGAATCACGCCGTACTGGTGATAACGATTTTTTGGAGTATTTTGGTGCTTGTTGATTATTTTGGGTACATTTTAAATAATTTAAACATAATTTAATACTATCTAGGAATTGTCCTTCCAAATCATTTGATTCTACTGCTGTAGCATTATCGTCATCATCCTTGCTAACTTCTTCTTCTTCTTCTTCAAGGCTTTGTGCTTTAAGAATTTCTACAGTTCTTGACAGAACAATTATGGCTTCCCTAGCTCCAAACTCAAGACGACTAGCTTTGGTTTTTAAATTATGAATGTATTCATCTTTTTCACCAATTTCTTGGAGTAATTGATCTCTTTCATGTTCATGGGCTTCATTTATGGTCTGATTTTTGTTATATTTTAAAAAAAATTGGATTTTTTTTAATTAGGTTTGATTATGTACGTGCTAACATATGAATTTTCAGAACGAAAAATCAAATGTTGAACCTATGAATTGTAACTTCAGTTGTATATGTTTCTCTGCAAATATAACAGGGTTATTTTATTTGTTTTACACACCTCAAGGTCATTTTCCAGTTCATATACTCGACTTTCGAGTTTACTGACAAGATCTTGAGCTTGGAGCATTAAAGGAAGAATACTTGCTACATCCGTCGGTAAACCTTCCTGCTCATTTACTTCAGTTACTTCGTATGATTCAT